ACATTTTTCGAGATGTTTTGAAACGTATGCAACAAAAATTACATAGGCTTCTGAGTCAAATTGGGGCACACGGGCATCAGCTCAACTCGATTAAGTTCCTGGGATTACAGTTGAAACAGCTTGATGATCGCATGGCTGACTATTAAGGCATTTGACAGGATGATTAATTTACACGAATATGAGCACATAACTTTTCTCTGATTATAATTCTAACTTGACCTTGTCCTTAACAAACACAGTCCAAAATCATGCTATTGTCCCCTTCTAAAGCATAAGTTCGTGTGCGGGTGTTTGACACCTTCCTAAAAACTGTCTTCTGATACTGCCTAACGTTTTTCTCAATGCTAGACATCTTACTTTACGTGTAAAATGACCCACCAGGAGACTCAGATGTTTGAAGATCAACCGGCGCTTATACACTGCCTTCCCCAATTAAACAATCTTCGCGTGGCCGGGAAACTGGCCGATTTGACGATAGAGGTAGACGTATTACATTCTGTTCTCATTAACTTGCTATTTCAAGCTACAGAATAACGTCAAGGTAAATGCACACAGAGTTGTTTTTGCTTCCCGGATGCCCTCCTTGTGTAATGCCCTGTGTAAACCCCCTAGGACCGGCCAGGATTTCATGCTCAAGTGGCCACAAATTTCTCCAGAGTACTGGCTCATCTTATATTACGATTGCCCCCTAGAGTCGCTACATCCTTCATAGATTACATATACACTGGCCAACTTGAAGTCCACGAAGCAAATGCGGCTGGTCTGACTGTGCTGTCGCAGCAACTCGTACTCCCTCAAGTAGAAGAATGGGCGGTCAGTTTTATGGCCACCAGGTAAGTGTTTCGTGTTATCATTAACTTGCAGACTGGATTCCGAAAACATTGTAAATAAGTGGCAGCTTGCAGAGCTTCTAAAAAGTGACATGTTAAAAACTGCCTGCCTACAGCATATCAAGGCGACCTTTGAGGATACAGTTCCTACTGATTTTTTTATCCAGCTACCATCTGAAGCTGTCCTGTCTCTGTTGCGGGCAGACGACCTTCAAGCGGAAAGTGAAGAGAGTGTCCTAAATGCCATTCAAAGATGGGTAAGCCCACTTGGTGAAGTGGATGAAACACGATTGGTGCACGCCGAGGCAATGATGAGGGAAGTGCGCTGGGGTCAGGTTGATGGCGACTTCCGATGTCAGCTACAGGACGATGATGAAGGTTTCTGGAATAAAAATCTGGGATGTGCGTAAGTTGTCGGACCACATTTAACTTTT